GCCTTGGGGTACACCGGAATTAACTGGAGTAGATACTGATCTGTGAGGGAGTAATTGAACAAACTGTGAGCGGCCAGAGAGATAAGAAGTAAACCATGCGAGTACTTTACCATCGATGCCAATAGATGCTAATCTGTGAAGGAGGATGTGGTGGGAGATAGTATCGAAAGCTGCTGTAAGGTCAAGGAGAATGAGGATGGATATAAGTCCAGAATCAGCTGCAAGCAGAAGATCATTGGTGATTTTTACTAGAGCTGTTTCTGTACTGTGACATGAATAGAAGTCGGACATGAATAGAAGTCGGACTGAAACTGTTCATACAAGTTATTTCCAATGAGATGATGATGAACCTGTGCAGCCACTATCTTTTCAAGAATTTTTTGCTAGGAAAGGGAGATTTGAAATTGGCCTGAAATTATTTAGATTGGAGGGATCTGAACCGTTCTTTTTCAGTATTGGAGTTATTATTGCAGTTTTAAGAGAAGAAGGAACAGAACCAGATGTAAGAGAGGAGTGTACGATATTAGCACTCAGTGGAGCAAGAGACGGGAATGAGAGTTTAACAAGATTTGTCGGCAGTGGATCAAGTTTACATGATGATGACTTTAAGTTAGTAATTATGGAAGGTAGCTGAGTTATTGTGGGAAGTTCACAATTGGACTGAGAGGATGACAGCTGTGAAGGACAAAAAATGCAGATAGAATAATTGACCATTTCACAGGACGAGGGCAATTGTTGATGAAGATTCTCAATCTTGGTGTAAAAAAAGTCCATAAATTTGTTGCAGAGTGTGTATGTATGGCAAAGGTATCTGGGGGTTTAACAATATTATGCAATGTAGAAAACAAAGTGCGAGTGCTTCCTTCAGCAGATTCAATAACAGAGGTGTAGTAGGCAGATTTAGCATGATGAATAGCTTCTTTATAGTGTTGTGTATGACTGAGATACATGTCCTTGTGAATAGTAAGTCCTGTTTTCCTGGAGAGACGTTCTAGGCGGCGTCCAGTAGCTTTAAGTTGGCGAAATGCAGATGAGTACCATGGCACAGAGCGAGAGAAAGAAACAGTTTGAGTTTTTTGGGGAGCCAATTTATCTAAGAGATTGATAAGTTCATTGTTATAGTGAGATACCAGGTCGTCTATGAAAGCTGAGGCATCAATGGTAGGTAAGTTATTAATGCCATGGGAAAGAGCTGATAGATCAATGCCCCTAATATTTCTAAAAGTAATTGAGCGGTTTTGTTTATTTTTGTATAGTGGGAGACTAGCATTGAATAAAACTAATTTATGGTCTGAAAAAGGTCAAAACTGCACAACAAGATCCAAAATGTGTCCTTTGGAGTGTGTGGGAACGTCCATATAAAGGTGTAAGCTAAAATTGTCCAGACAAGATATAAAATCTCTTGTGGCTGAATTTGATGTGTTGTCCATGTGGATGTTAAAATCGCCCAGCAGTAGTATATTTGGAGATAAGAGTAGGGTTTCAGCGAGAAAGTTAGAAAAATCAGTTAAAAAGTCAGAGTTGATTTTAGGTGGACGGTAAACAGATACTAATACTGTGGGGGTTGGTCCATTAATTTGGATCAGCATTCAAACGAGGAGTAAGCAGGAGCAGAAAGAGAGGATACCTTATACTGCATCCAAATGATGCATTTGACTTAATGAATTTTGAAGAGATTACTAAAAAATCTCTCATACATACACAAGCAGGTGCATTGTCCTTAAAGCATTCATCTCAGCATGTCATTTAAGAGGGGTGATGGTTCTGCTCCCCTTGCAAAATATGCCTGACTTGACTCTCGAAATGTGATGTCTGACGATAATTTGGTACATCTGAGCTAATGCATTAATATTTCATATTTTATAATGGTCCACTCACAGAGCATTGAGTGCAAAGCATAACCCATACACTGTACTCGAGCGACATAAGGCTAATTATAACCTTGTCCTCCAGATAATGACTATTTGAGTATATAATGCACTTGTAAAGCAAGGCAGGAGGTTGTTTAGGCCATGCTACTTCACAGTGCAATGGGTTTTAAGCAGTGTTAGATAGTTTTATGTTTTTGCTTTTTTTTTTCAGTCCAAAAGGAGTAATCTGAACTTCATTACTCAGAACAGCTCCATTAAAAGTGGAGCACTAATGTGCTCGAGCACTAAAGCAAGTAGCAAGCCTGTGCTGACTGATGTAGAAGGACAGGGCAACAGATGTTTTGCCCAAATGACTCCATACAGCACTCGTAAGCCACTATCCACAAGCAAACTGCTAGCTTCACACATCCTCCCTTTGATTACCACTGGTTAACATTAGCGCTCTACCCAGAACAAGGCCTGGGGGCCAGAATCCGTTCAGTCCAGCACACTTGCTTTGGAAAATCTTAAGGCAAGTTGAGTAAAGTGATTTGAATGCTCAGACAGTAGAAAAGTTCTACCTCCCGCATGGCTATTCATGGTACAACAAAGTAATGAAATGAAAAAACTACTAGATGACAGAAAAGTTCCTGTTTTTTCATTTCTGCGGTCCAGCCTACTTAACATGTATGTGGCCCACGATGCAAAAATGAGTTTGACAACCCTGACCCTGAATGTCCAACTGAAGACTTTTGAAGCTCTCTAGCATGGCGTCACGACTTCCAATGACCTCTTAATCTCTTGCTAAAACCAACACGCTAACACTAACTAAACCAAAACAATCCTGTTTGACAATTTGCTAACACGCTAATATCAGCACTCCTACATGACCGAGCATACAAAACGTTTGTGATTTGCATGTGTAAGACTGCAGGAATACCAAGAACATAAAGATGTTGCTGCTGAAAACATTGAGCATTTATTAGCAGTTAACAGAGAGAAGGGAGTTGGGTTTGAAGTAGAGCAGAAGAGCAGGGAGACCCAAAAAATCACAGAGGAAAACAGTCAAATACATTAAGCACATGTACAGACAAGAATTAAAAGAATCCTTTCAAGTAAATCTTTAAGACCTTCTGCAAGAGCAAGGGAGGCACAAGCACAATAAATACTCTAGTTTCTGTGTCCAGTGACTGCATCTAATGCTGACAAACATGCAATGCATGCACAAAGAAGACACAAAACAGTTAAGCTGCCACCAAATTTAGAACATTGGTTGATTGTCCAAAAAAATATAAGTTTTTAATGTTGCATCAATTTCTGATTTGCCCTAAAAATCTGTCTGTGCTACTGGCTTTGTTTTTACAAATGGTAAACATATGCACAGAAATGTTCTATGCATGTATAATCAATAGTGAAAATCTGAGTTCAACTTCAGTTTAAAGACACAAAAATAATTCTGGATACATTCAGTTTCGCTCAACGGTAAGTTTGTTTTCACAAAATACATCACTTTTCTTTTTTTTATAAGGGGGGCAGACTGCACAAGAGCACACATTCTAGCAATTCACCAATGAGCAGCTCGTGCACATCACAATTCATCCTCCTCTTATACGATGTCATCTTCTGGAAGTAGAAATGAGCCAACAGCAGGTTAGAAACTCCTGTGAATGGTGACATTGGGCTCTATTGTCCTGAAACACAGTGAGAATGCAAATGGAAGAAAAATCTCTTTGTGCAAACATGACAGCGTGATGAGCAAATGTTTGCAGTTTTGAGACGACATTCACTATCCAAGCACAGCGAGGTACAGTCTAATGCAGGGGTCGGCAACCACAGTTGGCACGCGAAGGGTTAAGTGATGGCACGACCATAGCTGGACTGGCCATCGGGCATTTGGTCGGTGGCCCGATGATTTTTTTTTGTAACGGTATAAACAATGGAAGGTGGTGGATTGGCCAGATGCTGGTCGGTGTGTAAAAATAACTCAGTTGTTTGGTGGTGGCTATGGCGGAGCTTCCACAGATTCAGTAACATTAATAAGTGGTGGAGGCCAGCAGGTGGATGAGAGAAAGGGGAGGTGTTCCGAGTATCAGGTGAACTGAACTTCAGGTAAGAAGTTATGACCTGCAGTCTATCTGGGTCAGATATAAACCAAGTTTAGGTGGAGTTTATTTTCGTTGTGCTGACTTTTTACAGTCAGTTACAATAACTCGTACTGCTACTAGCTAGCATGACGGAGTTTCTATACAGCTGGGTGGGTGCTATGATGTTACTGATAGTGAACTTTATCTTATTCATGAAGTTAATAGAGTTGCCAACCGTCCTGTAAAAAGGGAATCGTCCCGCATTCAGAAAAAATATTACGCGTTTGGTGTTGAGCTGAGAAGAGACGCAGTTTTGTCCCTGGACTTCAGCTAGAATGGAAAAAGACACAAAAGCTGGATTTATTCTGTTATGCACTGCACAGCTGCCTCTTCTTCTCTCATTCTCCCCCTCTCTCTCCTGTTTCTACTTCAATCATGAAACTGATCAATGATCAGCTGATCGGCTTTTCTCTCTTGTTTGTTTATCGCCCACTTTGCGCCAGAAAGAGGAAACCAGCGGATGTCGCGCTAAACAACAGCAGCACGTTTAAGCTTGATCAGCTGTTGTTAGAATTTATTTAATATTAATTTCTAGTATCAGCTGATGTTTGCTGGAGCCACAGCTGTAAAGCTGCTGGTCATGATGTCGGTTTGGATATGTGGTGAGAGGGAAACATGAAGATGAAACCAGGAGATGTCCTTACTGAATCATCAGAGCTGAACAGGTGATGGAGAAACAGGTTTACCTTTTAGGTGACATGAATGAGTTGAAGGGTTGGGTTGAATAATAACAAACATGCCATATTGGCCCAGTTTATTTCTCTTATCATTGTTCTGAGGAGACCATAAATAGCATTTGTATTTTCTGTTGTACAGTTCATTTGCTGTCATGGAGTTCTTGTTATGGATAAAAAATGTCTTTTTTTTTTTCGCTATTCGCTGACAGCTGCCAACATCTGCAAACAAATATAATTCTATAAAGTGGTTCTATATAGTGTGTAACTGTTCATATAGAGCGTTATTACATTTATTGCTAATGCAATCATATGGCACTCGTCATCAGAAAGGTTGCCGACCCCTGGTCTAATGCAATGAGGAGAAAAGGCTGAGTATATTATTAGCATGAGGCATTCAGCCTCTCATTTTCCAGGTATCGCCGAGTCCCAGGATCCTTTTCTGTCAGCTGTGTGTCAGTTCTAAGTAAAGTAAGCAGGATTTAAGTTACGAGTCATCTTCCATCCTCTAAGAGACTTCTGAGTGAAAAGCACATGTCCATAATTCACCAATAGAGTGTACTTTTTATCGTGTGCTGCCTTCTCATGTGTGAAATTGTTTAAAAAATATGTTTTAACAGCACGTATCATTTGTTCAGGGAACACTGGATAGATCGTTGTGTCACTGCTCATTATACGCCTCTACTTGAATGCACATGAGCTACAACTGCAAGTATTTATAAAGATAATTGGAAGTGGCAAAATGAAAAATAGCTGTAATAATCATCCTGACATAATTCAGAGTTTGTCTGCTCAGATTTGGACTCATTCATCATTCCTGCTGAATTTGACAGCTACAGGTCAAATTCAATTTAATTCAACTTAATTCAATTTAATTCAACTTAATTTGCTACAGGTATGTAAGAAATTACACAGAAAGTATACTGCATTTCACAGACTGTCTAAGTCTTTCCACTCAGCAGCCACAGGGCCAACACACGTGTGGGCAGTTATTTTTAATCCCCTATCTAAATGAATATGGACAGAGCCATAACTTCACATTCTTCTTTTCCTGGCCACCGGGACAAAACCCGGATCACATCCCAATCCCGATTTGAATCTTACTTTGGCCAAAGTCAGCAAGACTTTTTTTTCACTATTTATGCTTTTATACAACTTTGCACTCACATGATCAGTCTGTCCAGTCCTTTCAAGACCAACTACATTTGGCTGCAAGCAGATTTCTGTACCGTCTGCAGGACAGACTGCTGGTGACCACTGCTCTACAGCTGGGAGCGCTCTGACACTGCTGTTACTGTGCGGCACGCTGGCTGTACAGTATCTGACAGGGAAAACTGCAGAGGTGATGAGGTCAGCTGAAAAGACCATAGGATGTCCTTTAACCTCTTTGGATGAGACTCAAAACTCTTGATGTCCCTCCAGAGCAAAGAGAATCATCCTGGGCACCACTTGTTCAGCCAACTGCCCTCTGGAAGGAGGAACATTAAAAGCAGAACAACATTAGGAAAGAGCTTCTTTCCATGGGCGGTAAAGACTTTAAATACACTTAAACTTAACGCTGCCAACACTGAGCTTACATCTCGGGTGTAAAAGCTGGTTTGTGAGTGATTGTAGTAACATGTTTCCTCCTTCCTCTTTTCATGATGTCTGTTTTCATCTTGTCTTTATGCACCTTCAAATGTAGTGCTCTGAAATTTCATTGTTTACTATCTGTACAATGATAATAAAGATTAATCTTATCTACATAAATGTAAGAAAAATGGAAGTAGGCCCTGAGTTCTGTTAATGTTTCCTCATGAGCTAATCGACTCTGTCACTCACATTCACAGTGGGTAAAAAGTGACGCTGATTTTGTAAATTTTGGTGGTTTAAGGATTAGCCAGGGATTGGCTAAGAACGAGCCGATGAGCGTGCAGCCAGGCAGATCAACTCCTTCATCACATCACATCGTGTTTCAAAACAACAAGATGGTGAAAACACCGGATAACAAGACTTCACAAACCAGTGAGCGATGCCATAGCAGCTTTGTCCTTCCACCTGTTACACTGTCCATGGACACCTCACAGCTAAAACTGTGGCGGAGATGTGAGTTGGTAAAAAGCTCAGTCAAACTTACTGTATTTTGACACATCAGCATGAGGTAGATGAAAGAAAAAATGATTCAAGGTCATGTATAAGATGCATACAAGCTGACGTGCCCCGCTCCGTTCACTGAAGCCACCTCCTGGTTAAATGGCCAACAAGCTGATCCTTTGAGGGGGTCAACTTTAGGGAAATGAGGACCGCCCCTCTATGGCACAGTATTGCCCTTAACAAACCACATTTAATGCTTATAACATGGTCCCTTAACTCCTTAACAGCTAGTGTATGATACTTGAATCATACAGTTTTTGAGACTTCTACATCATCAGTCTGTTGTTGCCCCCAAAAAACTCATATATGCAAATTAGTATTCAAGTTTTTAAAAATGTGTTGATATAGCAACAAACCCAAGCTCTAAACCCAAGTAGGGTAAAATATTTGTTTTCTCAAAAAAACAAACAAAAACTAAATTTTGCCATAGATGACAAAAAACACTGTATTTTGTTATATACATTCTTTTTAAACATGCGTCAGTTTGAGGTAGAGAAAAGACTAATGCTGAACTCAGACAAGTGATTCCAAGCATAGTTATAGCTTTAGGTGGCAGGTGTGCATGTCTGTGACGTCACGCATTTCTGCAGCGGCTGTTTTTACACCTGCAGGAAAATAGAGCCCATTGTCTGTTCGATGAAGCTTGTAGCTATTTAAAGAAAACATCTACTGTATGATCAAATTTAGAGAACATGTCTGCTAGAACCAAGATTCATCAGTGCTCAGTTTGCTTTGAGATTATGGGTTTTTTTTATCCCTCGTTAGCTATCATGCTGCTCATGCTGTGTTTTCACCTCACCATCCAATCCGTAACGTCTATTTTTGCGTTACTGTGCGAGTCTAGCTTGGATGTGGCACTCATGTGATATACTGTACAATCAAGGTGATGGCTGGAAAAGATGCTGAAATTTCCATAACGTCAGACGACCGCTGTTAAACATGCTACAGCGTGTTTCCAAGCTAACCTCCAGTGGCTGTGATGCAATAGAGGGCACTGTGGTGTTGCCCTCCCTGAGGAAAAAACCTTTTTTATTTTTTACTTAATTATTTTAGTCCTTTTTTAAACTAGGTGCTCAAAAGCTTTTCACCTCCTGTCATTTGGAAATGTCTGAAGGTAATAAGCCACTGTCAGATAAAGGGTCTGGAGTAGCAGCAGTGTTGCCAACTTGTAGCACTTATCAGCCAGCCTGCTTACGCTCCAACAAATGATGTTCGTAAGTAAACAGTCTGCCATCAACAGCTTTTGCTGAAAGTGCCGGCTGTACTGTGATGTGTGGGGCTGTGACTCAGGCTCAGTGTTCATTTTTCACCGTAACCTGTGTGCGCTGTTAAAGGCTCTGTGTGTAGAAGTTTAAAAGTCAGCATTTTGGTGATCGTTGGCAGCAAAAACAGTATAGCAATGACAACAGTTAACATTTCTTCACAATTTACAGTACTGTATAAAAAGTTCACGTTAGTTCTTCTTCTTATGAATGTCCGGGACATTTTTTCCTCTTCTTGTCTGCAGAGTGACACTTTTTGTTTGTATTTGCATCCCTCTTCAGAGTTTGAATAACACAGGAGTAAATGGTCTGATGTCTGCTACAGCGTTTCCTCCTCATCATCAGCCGTTCCGCTCATATTTAGAACAGGCAGATTTTCCCTCAGTGAGATATCATCCACCCGCTTGGGACCGCTGTCCTCAGGCTCCTCGGGTATGGATGGATCCGAGTTACTGATTACGTATCCTGGCAGGGTGGCACGCATGCTGATCGCGGTTGGACCTGTGCTCCGGTAAACGCGGCTGGAAACGAGCGTGGTGGAGCGTGTGGACGGCCCAGCACCAGCCAGGTGGGACTGGCTGCTGGTGCTGTTGTTGTTCAGACCTACGACCACAGATCCATAACGGTAGCGGCCGCACACAACTGGACCCTCCCACTCAAAGGAAAGATTCCACCGTGTCCATGTTTTCTTTATCTCTGTCTGAACCTGTGGGGGTGTGGGGAAAAAAGCCAGTAAATACACAAAGCTGAGTTGTTTTTTGCAAAGATCAGAGTGCAGAAGAAATATTTTGAGGTGCAGAATACTTTTCTAACCAGTGGTTCCTTGTTCCTGTTTCATTTTGTTTAAAATATCAGAGCAGCCAGACTGCATGCACATCCCCGCTTCAGATCTTATTGTTGCTTACATCCCTGTGTGGAAATTACATATTTTACCACAGTTTTCTGCAGGTAGTCCTGCAAAGACATGCTCTTTAGTTTAGCTGGTGATTGCAAATAAGGTGCAGGTGTGAGTGTCAATGTGGCAAGCTGCCTCTCTGTGACCGTCAAGCAAACTGTTGAGGAGGCAAGAGGCATCTCGCTCAGCGCCAGCTGGGATAATCTGTGCAACCCTAACCTGAACAAGCAGCTAATTTAATCATTTAATTGTGTCACTTCCTCCTATATACACCATTTGCAAACACAGAAACTGCCTTTTCCCACTCATGAAGGTATTTTGAAAGGATTGATGTCCAGTAAAACTGTGTGACCCTCGCACAGTTGGCACAGGGACACACTTTGTAAAGAAAGCAAAGCCTGAAAAGACAACATTATTTTTATCTCTGATAAGGAAGTTGTTTTTGCGAGCACTGGCAGACATGTTTTCTGTCTGTAATGATAACATTTGAACAAATTCTGATAAAACTTTGTGAGGGTGTAGACACGTGTGGTGTGTATTGTCAACATATAAAAAGCACTGTAAGAAGTTTTAAAACGTCGTGCCATATTTGACCCTTGACCTTTCCTTCAAGGCCAATAGACCATCTAAAGATCAAAGTGATATCAGTATACAGGGAATGATATATGTTGATTCTAAATATGACAATATTTCATCATGACGTTTATGTGCATGCAGCAATGAGCTCTAAGCCTTTGAATACATGAGCAATGCTCCTGAATAAGGTTTAATGAATGCTACACATGCACTTTAGCCATGTCAATGAAAATAATAATAATTGTGCATCAATTACATACAAAACAAAACTGACTCGCTTTGTTTTTGGGGGGGTTTGCCCTATAACAAACAAAACAAATTCTCCACTCCTAATTACGAGGAAAATAAACTTCTTCCTTGACGCATTCCTAATCGCCATGTCAAATAAGTTGTAGTACGAATGCTATGCACCAAATACAGAAGTGATGAAACAGGCGAGTGTCTGCACCCGGGCATGGCTGAGAATCGTAGTGGAAATGAAGCCCGAGCACATGTATAAAATTTCATGATGACTTAAAACTTCAAAAAGAGGACCCGGCGTACACGTGAGTTTATAAATCTGATGACCAGAGCGTGTATGCAGATCTCTGCCTTCCTACATGTGAATTTACTGTTTTATGGTATCAAACATTTGAGATTGTTTGCTGGACACGGCAGCCTACACTTTCCTATATGCAAGTGGATGAAAAAGATTCAACTGTGCACGCAGCGCGTGGGCTGAATGACTAAAACAGAGCATTAGGAGCAGCTTAAAGCTCCACGGAGCAGCAGAGTAGGGTGTTAATTCCAAGTGTTGGCTGAGACCCTTTTACCTTACATGAGTCATTTGGCTCAGTGTTAATAACAAAATAACAAATTGCTTTATGGCGCTTTTATTCAACAGAATACAAAAACCTTCAGTTTAATTTGGCGTTGTTTGGTTTTCGGTGACTCTGAAAGGCTCCGGAGAATAAAAAGGAGAGCTCCGCAGGATAATGAGGATCACGAAGGGAAAGTGAACGACAGCATAAAAAAAAGAGAGAAGTTTTGTGTAAAGATCAGAGTGTCAGAAATGGAAACTTTAATTCAGCGCTCAGCACTCTCCGTGCAGAATGAGATAATAAAGAGTCAGATAATATGGCAGCACAGATGAAGGGAGAAAAACACGCTTCATCAGCCTGACCACAGATTACATGTACCACCGGAATAATTAAACCCTTTGTAGGAGATATCAGCAGCTGCATCAGCGTGGCTGGAATTGTTTTCATGTTGTCAGTCTGTTTGCGTGTCTCTCAGTGTGTCATCACGGCAAAAAGTGATCCCAACACCAGCTGTGGGAGGAACTACAACAAAGGCAGCTTTGAGGACTTAGACAGGCGTACAAAAACCTGACACTCTGTGTGTGGACACAACAGTGTGTTGTGAAAGACGCAGACACACAACTCTGCAGCTGTGTTGTTGTGATCGAAATAAAAACTTCAAGTCAGACCCATTAGTACTGAGTTCCCATGTAATTATACAATGACGTAGTAAAAACTGAGTATATCTGAAGCATCAACAACATGTTGACAGGCACAGCAGCCATGCTCTCTAGTTATACTGTCAAAGCACTTCTATCAAGTGTGAATAAATCACTGCCTACTCACCTCTCCATTGCAGTAGCAATAGATAATTGACACAAAGAAGCCCTGAAAAGAAAAATTGAAATACAAGTTATGAACTGTTTCAGACATTTAGTGCGATCATCACATTCTTTACCACTTTGATCTACACGCAATACAAAGAATGGCTATTAAGATGATAGTGATGCTGCAGGTAACCAGTTAATATCACTTTGCTTTAAATACATTTAAAAAATTAAAGTTTTACACGTAATTTTGTGGGATACCTAAAGTGTAAATTGTTTAATTTAATGAAATTGTCGCGATAGTGACTGCGACCCAGTGTTTTGCATGTTTTAGTTTTATTCTTTGATTATTGTTATTTTCTCAGTGTTTCCTGGTTTATTTTGAAAGAGTGTTGTGTGTCACTGTGTTTAGTTTGACTTCCCCTGTGACGTCATTGTGCTAATTCTAGTCAGCTGTTTCCTGATCACCTCCTGTGTGTATTTAAGTCCCCTGTCTTCCGTTGTTCATTGTCAGGTCGTCTGTTTTCCTTCTACGTCTCATCGTAGTCGTTTCATTCTACAGTCTTGTCACAGTTTTTTAGTTTTTCCCAGTTTAGGTTTCTGTTTAGTTGTCGCTCCTACATGTTTACCAGCCTTAATAAAGGCTCGCTTTTGGTTTAAAAATGCAGTCCCTCGCTCCAGCGTCTGCTTTTGGGTGCATTAATAAACGTCCCTGGCATACTCCGCCATGACAGGAATCTGGTCACATTAAATGTACTTGATTGGGATAGATCCAGTTTACACCAAGCACATTTTCCTCAACGATTAAACACTTGAATAAACAGACATTTGATTTTATATATTTCAGCTCAAAATTATGGCTTCAGTTTTTTCGAGGATGTAGAAGATTTTTCTTATTGTAATGTCTAATTAAAATAAAGAAAGTGCGTCTCTGGCTCCTTCTGTTCTTCTGTTCACTGAACCAGAAAGTTTTTAACACAGTTATGAATTATGAAGGTGTCTACAGACCATCTGTGTTTGCATGCTCATGTGTGTGTTTGTGTGCACGTTGCGATGCACAACTAGTGAGAGACATCTTGGTAGTAAATCTCTAAAAAGCCAAAACAAACCAAAGTTCTCTGGAGAGATTTTTAGTTTCTGATTTTACTAAACATTTCATCATGACAGTAACTGAAGAAGAATATACTCTGCCAAGCTGTTGAAAAACAGAAATAATGTACAGACACCAGCGTCTCTAATTCTGATTTTGGAAGCTTGGATCTGTTCTATAAGAAAACCAGCAGCTCAGCATTGTTTCTGTCAGGTTGACAACGTCTCATTTAAGAAATATTCCCTTGTGGCTCATACTGTAGCAAATCCTCTTAATATGAAAAATTACTCATTTAATCTCTTTACACAATCATTGCCCCTGAAATCAGTATCCAAGGTTACCTATTTCACAGTCTTTGTTCATAAAAATGTTACCAAAGAGTAAAGAGATATATATTCTACAATGATGAGATTCAGGTCCTGCATTTCAAAAATAGCAGAGAAGATAATTACTGGATTAAAAAAAAAAAAAAAGGATTCAGAGAATCAGACATTTATCCAATATCAAAAGAAGAAAGAAGCACGTATTTATAACAGAATGGATTGGATTTATATTGCGCTTTTCAAGGCACCCAAAGCGCTTTACAATGCCACTATTCATTCACACACTGGTGGAGGCAGCTACGGTTGTAGCTACAGCTGTCCTGGGGCAGACTGACAGAGGCGAGGCTGCCATATCGCGCCATCGGCCCCTCTGGCCAACACCAGTAGGGTAAAGTGTCTTGCCCAAGGACACAACAACCAGGACAGAGAGCCTGGGGATCGAACCGGCGACCTTCCGGTTACAGATACGCTTCCCAACCCCCTGAGCCACGGTCGCTTAATATTTCCAGAAGTGGAAATATTAAGCCAGAAAATAATATAGTGCAGCTAATAGTGTTACTACACTGCACTGCAAGACCCTGACACAGCAATGAGTGAGAGCATCTGCTATTTCAGTGTAAAATCTGCTGTGCTGACATACAAATGCAGGAATAACTTGGAGGAATGGGAATAAAGTTTCCATAGGTGCCCAGTTTGAATCGACTGACTAGCTGAGGCTTGTGTAGTTTCCTCCCACACTCCAGAGACATGCATGTTAGGTTAATTGGTGATTGTAAATCAGGCTTAGGTGTGAATGGTCATCTGTCTGTCTGACAGACGGTCCATGATGTTCCCTATGACAGCCCAAACGGATGGATGGATGTCCATCTACTGTTTTTTTTTGTTTGTTTTTTTGCAGGTGTGTACTGCCCATAAGTTTTACATGTACTTAACGTAATATTAAGGAAATGTGACGCTACAGGAGATCTGTTGATGTCGTCTCAAAATGAACCTGGGGGTAATATCAGTAATGTCAAGGAGAATGAGTGAAGATACGTGCCTGCAGGTGTGGTTGTAGGACGTTGTATCAGTTTCATAAATGCTCTTCTACCAAATCCTTCCTGACAGACTGCATGGACTAAAGCAGCGCGCCACCTATGCAATGCACTGCTGCTCTGCCATAGAAGCGATACCATGAAGCTCCTGGTGGACAGTGTTTGTGCTAATGTTAATGCCAGAGAAGGTTTGGAACATTGATATTTGTAAGAGTTGTTGAAACAGTGAATGGGCTGGTAAATGGACTGGTTCTTATATAGCGCTTTTCTACTCTCACTGAGCACTCAGTGCGTTATACAACTTGTGCATTCACCCAATCACACAAGCACTTTATGTAAGGTTTTTTAGTGCTTCTATCTAATATTCACTCGCATTCATGCTCCGATGGATGCATCGGAGCGTGGGGATAATAAAGATATTTGGCATGCAGACTAGAGCAGACTGGGATCAAACCACCAACCTTCCGGTGAGTAGGTCACCCACTCTACCACCTGAGCTACAGCCAACAGCGGCATCCCATTACAGCACAGCTTCAATTCAATGAGCTCTTTAGAACAATGTTTGCAAAGGCAGACAGCATGGCTAGCTGCTTGATTTTATACACCTGTAGGAATGAGACTGAATACACCTGAAATCAAAGATTAAGAGCTTTACTTGTAATTAAATATCTAAAAGCAGGTGGGGTGTCCTTGTTACCTTTCGTAAAGCCAGAAAGCTCAGCACTATCAGCAAACAGAGGTCATCATACTCTCCTTACTGTGACTAAACTTTTCCCAGGCCTTCTGATCCAGTGACACCTCACAAGGGCAATGGGTTAACTCCAAAAAACCCATTACACTTCAGGCCTTTATCACTACACTAATGTGCTTGAGTGCATCTTTGTAAATGCATTTTTTAAATTAATTGTCACTTGCAAAACCAATCATACCAAACCTGGAGTCTGGGAGCACTCTTCCATGCATAAGAGAATTGGAGGAACTGAGGTGAGTAAGAGCCTGGCAGATAACTTCCACCCCAGGGCCTCTCAGCAGGTTAATCTAGCCCTGTGGGTTGCTTAGCACCTGTCCAGACATCACTTCCATACAAATGATACTTAGCATCTGTCCTTACATCTGCATGTAGCTTAACTTTATTTTTTATCTAAGGGTTTACTTTTTTTAGAGTATTTACATGGATAAATGCAATAACAAGTAATGTTTTCGAGTGAATGTGTTTAATTTACACATTCAGAGCAATTTTTGTCTCCATGATAATATTGTGGCTTCAAATAAATGCGCTCGTGCTGCGGTGGATGCTGAGGTGGATGCTGAGGTGGATGCTGAGGTGGATGGAGTGATGCAGCTGAGGGTTATTTGGCTCATCGGGGGGCAGTGCGTAATTTTTGTGCTCATTTTGGCAGAAAATTGTGTTTTTGTTGCATCTTTGGATCCCATCACAAATTCAAGCACGGTGTTTGTTTTTTTTGGCTTCAGCTGGCATAGGTGCACACATCAGCCTAATTAAAAAAAGAAATTATTAAAATGTCTTGGTTATACTGGTTGGTTGAATATGGCCCCCTACTAGCATAATTTAAGGATGTAGCTGCACATTATCAAACATGGATCAGAGCTTTTGGGGTCCATTTATTAGTAAGGTAGAACAATGTTCCCACAGGCAGCTGATACAATGTTCCACACGCTTCCTGTCTCTTTACCCTTTAAAACCTGCTCTACACACATATCCTTTATTCTGTAAATTAGAAATGCCGCATTGCGTTTGAATGACTCTGCCAACCACTGAAGTTGCAGTCAAATTCAGTTTTAACCATGTCATCCTGGAGGCCAAGTCAAAGTTTGTGCCAAATGCTAAGAAATTCCCTGAAGGCATTCCTGAGATATTGTATCCACAAGCCTGGGATGGGCAAACAGACGACCTGAAAGCCTATTGCGTCTAATCGCAGCCACCGCCAGCCATGAAAAGGTTACGAAACTACAAAGTAAACAAAGTTAAAGAGTCATGCTTCCTGTTTGTGAAGCCTCTGTGCTCTGAAGTTACTGTCACAGTTTTGTGAACTTGATATATATTCCTATTTTTGAATAATGACTCTGAAACCACGATTGTTAAACTTACTCCTTGCACAGTCACGTCTACCTAAGCTTGACTTTGGAACTGAGACTGGCTCCATTTTGCTTACCCTGCACCTACGCTGACTATGCACCTTTAAAAGACACAGAATTATTCATGAGTGTCTTCTGGGTTTATTTTTTTTAATAAATATAAAGCAATGTGGTGTTACGTGAAGGAAAGTACTTATTATAGGAATGACAGTCTATTTTGTTCTGCTGGTAAATCAGAGTAACATTAAAGCTGACATTTATATCATCTATTTAGGTTTTTTGCTTACAAATTTATTTAATTTTTCCTTTCAAGTTGTGTAAAATGTTAATAAAAAACAAAATGATTTACATATCTTTAACCTCGATATTTAACTGTCAGGTTTTTTTTAAACTACAGGATCATTTTTAATCTGATGACAGCAACATTTCACATTAAGACGGCATCATGTTCACTCTGTCAGCTGTTATTTTCTTTCGTTCTTGTTAATTGCACATTGTGTCTGCTATATAACTTCCTGTGACACTGCTCAGCAATCAGTGGCCTCAGAGAGAAGACCGAGCACCTTTACCACAAAGACCTTTTATTACACGACTTTCAGAAATTCTCGAGTGTTGAATGTTCATCGTATTAAATGCTTGACTGGTTAATAAAAAACTTAAGTAAATGTGCCTGAAGGTCAGTTATTATAAAATACTTAAAAGACAGTGGATAATTTGCAGAACACTTAAGTGTAAACTTAATTGAAACTGGTTCAAAGAAACTACGAATTATGAAAACGACATCATCTCAGCGCAGGCGACCAGTGAAAACCAACTGTAGGAAAATACCGTAAATTTTGTATAGTGACCTTTAAAACCATGTTTTCCTTTCTGTACTTACTTTTAGAGTACATATGACTAAAATGAACTCAGGCAGTAAAAATTACACAAAGTTTCGTGCATTTTAATTTCTTTCAATGAAAGGCCTCATTCATTATTATTTATTTATTTATTTATTATGCTGAAGCATAACGTTTCAGCTGTTTCAAACAGCTTACACATGTATGGCATAAACATTTTGGTAACATGTTCGCTGATTATTCATGCCAAGCTGAAAATAAACTCTGTTCATGTATGTTAGTTAATCTAGTTCACACCCAGTAAAGGGCTCAACCCCACTCACATATAATTATAACTGCTCATTTAAATTTAGGCAGCACTCAGAGTCATTATGAAGGCGCTTCACTGACAGTCACCCAGAGGCATTTAGAGAAGATAACTGTGGGCCATCCCGATCCATGACCTGAAAAATGTAATAATTGAGCTGACTAGTTGATGTGTAAGTGATAAAACATCCACGACTCAGTCACTTTCAGAAAAATAACTGAAGGATGCAAGAATGCATCTAAAAGCTGCAGGACGGCAGCTCTCGAGGACTGGGATTGGGCACCCCTGATCTAGAAGATGCTCAGTAAGTTATTGTTACTCAGATTACATCCGAAACATGAACACGGCAGTTCGATTACACTTTATTTACACTACCAGAGGCAAATAAGATGAATTCCCTTTCGAATATTCTTTGGCGTGTCAGCAAGCTTAAAGAAATCTACTCTGTGTGTGTAACAGTGCTTATTTTTATTTGGCCGGAGAAAAATCTATAATGATCTGCTTTTAAATGCTACTACAGTGCGACAGCAGTAATTAAAGGCTTTTCTAAATGCTAAATCTTTTGAGCCGCTGTGGCCGTACAAGCCTCTTGGTTCAGGGAGCACTGTAAAATCTCTACAATCCCTGTCACTCACATCGTTACTGCCGAGACACGTCTAACAGTACTGTAATTAAAAATGCAGGAGCACTGGTGATACTGTTAATTGATTGGTTTCTATGGATTTGTGGCGAGTCGTTTGAAATGTGTCAGTACCCAAGACACCTGCTGATTTGGCTTGGAAAGAGTGGAATCATTATTAAAAGCTGCCAAACTGTATAAGCTCATGAGTAAAGTCGCTTGCTTGATGCTTTCACTACTCGCTGTGCAATTGTGGTTTTACACGTGTTTATTTAGGCAGCAGATGGAACAGATGCCTGTGACCTTGGAATAGATATAAAGAGCTTGTGTGTACCAGTGTAAATAAACGATGTTCATTGTAGGCCCCCTCTAGCTGTCGGCAACTGCACAGTTTTAAATAGTCTCTCATTAACTTGCCAAATAATGCTTGGACTGACCGGCTGAAAGTTTCCAAAAAACAAAAGAAAAGTGCAAAAGTTAGGAAAACAAAATGTTTTTGTTTTTTAGTTAAAGTGGCCAAAATATTATGGAGCAGGTCCAATGCTAAGCAAGTCCAAGCGGCCAGGAAAAATGCATTTGTTCTGTGCACCAAAATTGCATTCCCTTCATGGATCGCCAAAAGTCTGAGCAAAATGACCTGGTGCAGGTGTGTTTGCTGCTCGGTGCATTTCTCACAGGAAGAAGCGGATGCGAAGCGCTCATAACATGTTGTGTAACACAGAAAGTACCTGAAATGAGTTGAAAAACAGCTCACAGTACATTCGGATTTCCCAGCTTGGTCCCTGATATGTATGAGGCATCCCAACGAAGATGATGTAGTGGATGCCGAACACCAGCACGAGCACAAGAGTGGACTTTGCCAGTTTCCTGCGAGGACACACACAAGACAGAGGTTCTAGTTTTCATATCGAAGTGACTGAAAGCAGCCATCGTTACAGTGTACGGCTTAACTAGCAGCAAATTAGTTTGATGTTTGCCAGGTTAATACTTTCTCTGGATGCAGAATTGGCAGTGATTTTTTTTAATTGCCAAGCATCTATTCTTCACACAAGCTAAGCTAATTCTCCTGGCTCGAATACAAAAGTACAGGACAGGTTTTCAAACTTGTTGCTCGGGGAATGTTAATTAAGCAAGGTAACTAGACTGCAGAACTAAAGTATACTTTTTCAGTTTATCATTTAGGCTCAGTCTTGGGAGAACGTGCAAAGTAAATGATTTTAAGCAAACTCTGGGTCTCCGTTTCCCAGAGCATATAACAAGCTTCAGTCTCCACTTCTGGCTTCAGTGAGAATCCCGTTAGTTACCATTCGTCTAAATCAAAAAGTGACAGATGTTTGAATGCATCAGATAAAATTACTTCTGTTCTGTTGGGACTATTTCCTGGTGGGCATGTATTTGACCTGTTGTTTTTGAGCTCACTGACTAGAAATCAAACTGACAGCTTTATGAATGCTTTATAAAAGCGGGAAGTACCTCATAGTCTTAGCAATATGAACAAATACACGTTCCAGTCACTGCAGACGGCTAACTGCAGTCCATCGTCAGCTCATCAACAACGGCACTGAAGTGTGCACAGTTTCACTCTCAAGCATTTAATAAAGTAAATGAACATCAAAACAAATACTGTGTTAAAGTTGACTTGTGCCAGCAAGCTGAAATGAGCGTGTGCACACACAAATGCAGTGCCAGTGCACACGCTCATTAAACAGTACAGACCTCCAAGGAATATACTGCTCAGGGATCAGTTCCATGCTTTTAATTTATGAGACCATCTGACTTGTTTTGGATTGTACTGCCTTTGGCCTGAAAAACACACTGAAATGTCTAAACTGCCTTTAAGCTCAGATGAGAACTTCATGTAATGACTCATCCTGGAAAGTGAGGAGCAAGTTTGCAGCCTATTAAATTTCTGTTGTCCCTTGTACACCCCCGGGGGGAAATGGGCACAACAACTCCAGCAAAAGATTGCTACAGTCTGCAACAGAGGAGCAGTTTGAACGTCACAGTAAATTAGATCATGCGATGAATTTAAAACTTTCTGACAAGATGCATAAAAGGCTGGAAATACAGGAGAAATCCTTGAGCTTTGAGGATTTCTCCTAATGTGCTGTAGTGTGTTGGTGTGGCTCATGCCAAGATCGCAGTTATAACTTCGCTTTTCATCTGTGACAGAAATATTATGCAGTAGTCGAAGTTGTCACATGCACATCATTTTGAATTTCCTGTACGAAAAAACAACAAAACAAAAAACAAAAGCTAGCAAGCTAAGCGCAGCTAACATCCCTGCAGAACGAAAGTGGGTGTTCCCATATTATCCTGTAATTAATGGGGCTTAGAGGTGCTTTTTAAAATATGTTCCTGTTTCTTAATTCCAAGCATAAGGTTGTGTTTTCAGGATAACATTAGCTGTTAAAAGCCAGAGTTCAAAAGCACTCCGACGACTGTTTTCACATGACTTACACGGTGAACGTTTGCTTTGCACTTCGTGTGCATGCATCATAACAGCAGACAGTCGTTTCCTTTAATGTGACCAAAGAATAGAAATGGTTGGACCAAATGTAATTACTAAAGAGCTGAATGAATACTGATGCTCCGTCTCTGAAGAACGTTTTACTGTGAATGTTTTAAAATTACCCTTTAAAAATCAACTTGTCAGTGTTTCTTAAATTTCCAATTTCGCTGCATAAATTGAAATCAAAACTTTAATTTGACTAAGGCACAAGGCTAAACATGCGTATGCATTTAAATCAAATGAAAAACAAATCTCACAATATTCTGCATGAAAACATCGATGCACCGGACATGTGAAAACAAAGAATGAACCTTCATTCATGGAGGTAAAAAGGCAGATTTGGCGTGATCAAAGACATCATCTGCAGCCAGATTAATGCTTTTTTAGCAACAACTTTGTGACCTTAGAGGGAAAAAAATGAAACAGATTTGTTTTTCCTGTTTCATCTCATTAGTCCACCCACAGCATTCACAGGAAGACACTGCAGGCTTTTGCTCAAAATTCATCAGCACATATTTGGCATGGTTTGTTCCAGTCAAATAAACGGATTAATTCCACGTGCAGCCTCATAGCCATCCTTTGAAGTTCTGCGATTATGGTCACCAAACGTATTTATTCAACCTTATAATCTACAGTTAGACTGCACTAACACAGATGCAGACAAATGGAACTGTTTCACTCGCCTTGTCAGTTCCTCAGATCTCGTCTGTATGAATAACTGAAGGGACTGTGCATTACCATGGGGGCACATACGACCCTGGCTGTGGTATGTGTTCACTGACTGATGTAAAGTGCCTTTCAGAGCCATCAGTTACATCAGAGTTGTACCAACCTACACAACTGATGATCAGATCATGTTTCTGGTCTGCTGAGCCAGTCTTTAGTGATACGGCCACAGCAGAGTGTGGAAATAAAGAACAAAAACCTTGATTTTCCACAGATTATGTTGCTGTGACAAGAGCGCTGAGCCTGAACGCAAAGGTGTTAATTTACTGGTCGATATAGACTCTGTTCCTGTTCTCAACTGCGGTCATGAGAATCACATCGCGGATACAAGCACTGGAAAAGGGCTTCCTCTGAAGGGTGCCTCGACTAAACTTTGGAGTGAGCGTTGCTGCTCCTCCACACTGAAAGGAGCCATTTGAGGCGGTCTGGGCATCTGACTTGAATTCCTCCTGGACCCCTCCTACATGACGTGTTTCAGGCACTTTCTACTGAGAGGAGGCGTCGTGATGGATCCAGGACCTGCTGGAGAGATTATATCTCTCAGTTGGATTGGGAATACCTCGCTGTCCTGGACAGGCAGAGGGAGGCATGGAAAAATTAGCTCACTTAATTTAAAGCAGAGGAAACCAGTGCACAGCTTGGTTCTAATTAGTTATAATGTTACTGTTGATCTCAGTATGTGAATCTCTCATCAGATCCCTTTTGCATTTCCATTTTCGTAACTGCTGGAACAGATGAGCAGAAAGATGACTAAGACAAAGTTTAATGGACGTGTTTGTGTCAAAATCTAAGAATCAAATCAATTTTTTACTCGATTCTTCGATTTTGGCCGTGTGGGTTCTCATCTCTTTTTTGGAGCTGGAAAAATAAGGTGTAAACAAATTTTCCTGCTGACAGATGAACTCCTTGTGGTCCATTAGCTTTTTTTATCTCAGTGATTTTGTCTGAGTGTGTAAATGGTCTGATTCCGAGAAATAAGCTAATTGAAAGAAATCTACCAAAAGGATTAAAAAGGGAAAATTAATGGGAAAAGGGAAGAAACGGGGAAACTTAGAGAAAATAGCGAGAATGAAACAAAGATAGAGGTGAGGAGGACGAGAGAAAATGGAAACCGGAAGATGGAAGGGTAATTTGATTGCTTTATAGCACAGAAAGTAAGGAAAACATTTCTTCAGTTGAGAGTAATTGACTTTTTGATTAGTTTGTTTTTTGTCAAAACTCAAGAAGTGGTACATTTTAGATTGTGTTTTGCTTGTGTTTTCTTTCACAACATTAGAAGTGATTTTAATTTTTTTTCTGCAGGTTTTTTTGTTTTGTTTTTTTTACCTTTTTGGTGACTGGGATACAATGATAAGTAAAACATAAAATACAAAAGGAAAACTACAAACATAAACTGACTGGAACCTAAAGTGGCAAAAATACTGAGGCCGGAAAACACTGAGAAACACAAAGGGAACTTCAATAACTTCAGGTTCCAACAAGGGACAAAGGGAGACTGAGACCATATGGGAAAGTGATTAGGACAAGTGGAGACAGCTGGAGACACAGCAGAGACAAATCAGGAGTAACGAGACAGGGGAAGCAAAATAAAATCAAAATAAACACTGAGACAAAAACACACAAACTTCACTAAGACAAAAGGTAAACAAACAGAGACATGGCTGACTTCACAACAAGACAAAACCCGGGGAAGAGACAAAGGGAACAGGATAGGCAATAACTAAATGGAAAGATAACAAACAAACACACGAATAGACTAAAAACAAGGAAATGACAGAGGAGGAAGGAGACACGGTGAAATTTTAAACTCAACACACAGAAAGGGAAACAACAACACAAAGACAAAACCGACTTCACAAAGGTGGGACGCTACACAGAGACAGAGTGGACATGAAAGGGAATCAAATTACTGAGAACTGAGAAATATGAATAAACTAGCAAACAGCAGAAATACTAAACTAGGAGACTAAACATTAAAAAGCAGACTATAACTATAATAATGACTCAGATCTAGATAAACTAGATAAGAAACTCTGAATGGAGGAAAAACACTTGACCACAGGATGTAAGTGAGTTGTTTTAATGTTGATTTGTGTTCTCATGTTTGTATTTTTCAGTTTAAAAGTTTTAAAAACTCAAATAAAACAAACGTGTATGACGTGTATTCAACTTCCAGTTTACTGGATCATTATCATCTTTTCTGACAAATCGTCTGTTCATCTACACAGAACGACCTCGCCAGCGGCATTCAGAGCTACGCTCCTGTCAGATAATGCACTGTAATTATACGGTTTTTATCTGACACACTGACGCCAGCACCAGCAGGGGGGGAAATGGTGATAATTGCAAATGTGGAAGTGTGTGTGTGTGTGTGTGTGTATAATTTTGTGGAGACACTTCATTTCTCACAACCCGAATAATTATATTCCAGTGTCACGTCTTTGCTAAAGGTTAAGGTGGGGGCTTGCGTTGGGACTTAGTGCAGTGTAGAGTGTTTATATGGGCGACCGTGGCTCAGGGGGTTGGGAATCGCATCTGTAACCGGAAGGTCGCGGTTCGATCCCTGGGCTCTCTGTCCTGGTCGTTGTGTCCTTGGGCAAGACACTTTACCCTACTGCCTACTGGTGTT